AGCCAGGGGGCTGTGGATGGCGAGCAGACCAGTTGGAGGTTGTGAGCCGGCGGGGAGTCCGGTTCGGCTGTGACCCGGGCTCCTCCTGGCCTGTGCCCCCGCGGAAGCCGCCGCGGAAGCCGGCAGGGACCGGCCAGCAGAGCTTCGCCATTGGCTCAGGACCTAGCCCCCGCCCATCCCAGGCCAGGCCCTGCTGGGGGCACCAGCGCTGGGGACGTGGAGAGCCGGGGGGACATTCTGGCCCCGGAGGCCGGGCTTCAGATGCTTCCTGCGTGAGGTGGGGTGGCTCCCTGGTCTGCTCTGGACTTCGGATCCCCTGTCTGTGCGGGGAGCGGGCAGGGCTCAGAGTGAGGCTGCTCTGGAGCGTGTGCTTTGCAGAGGGAGCCAGGCCCCTTCTGGTGGGGTTCTGGGTGGAGGAGGGGGTGCGGCTCTGTTCACGCCAGACCCGCCAGATGAACGACCAGCGGGAACGGGCTTCTCGCCGGGCGGCGGTGGGAAGTCTTGCTGTGAAACCCGAGGAACAGACCAGCTGGGCGAGGGCGTGGCCGTTAAAACAGAAAGCCCGTCACACGATAAAGCAGGCTTTCTGAATGTATATGTTAAAGTTGACAAATTAATCGGTTTAATGTTTTTACTTACGTAAACACATCTGTGTAGTTAAAATGAAGCATGTAGGGAAAGTTTACTTTCACAGAAGAGGTTCCTACATGTGCTACTGCGATGATAAATTTGTGCTGAATAGGCGAGTGAGTGCGAGCGGCAGGGCGCGAGGACAGATGCACCCGCTGGGGGGGGGGGTGGCACCTGCTGACCTGCTGAGTCAGGAGACAGCACCCGGGCAGGTGACACAGGGCGGCACGGACCATCGTCCTCATCACTGTTTGCCGGCCGTGGCTCTTGGACTTAAACACGGAGACTATAGTTGAAGTAAGCGTTGCCCTCGCCAGCTTGGCTTAGAGGTTAGAGCATTGCCCTCAGACTGAAGGGTCCGAGGTTGGATTCCGGTCAAGGGCACGTATCTTGGTTGTAGGCTTCATCCCTGGCGCCCGCCTGGGTGTGTGAGGGAGGCAACTGATTAATGCATCTCTTTCATATCGATGCTCCCCTCCCCCCCCCGCCCCATTCAGCCTAAAAATCAGAGAAAAAAATAGGCCGGGGCGAGTATTAACCAACAAACAAAAGCATGCCCTTTGCTCTGAGATACCCTAATCTAGTCACAAATTTTAACAAAGAGTTTGATGAGGGAAAAAAGTGTACCTTTTAACTCTGAAAACACCTTACTTAAAAAAATAATGAGTAGCAGTGAATTAACTAACAAAAATCTAACCTATAAGTAAATTGTGGTTAAAAGCACTTTAAAATTGACAAGATGGTGGTAATGTTACATAGGACACAAGACTGGAAATTTTGACCATTAAATCCGGTTTGTTAACTTGAGGTCCAAAAACCAGAGGGTTTACTGTGGCCGCGGCCTCACCAGAGCTCTCTGTGCGGGGCACTGGCAGTGGGCTGGTTCGCCCGTCTGCGGTCAACACGGGGGCTGCCTTGGGTGCAGGGCCTTGGGGGGCGTGGGCTCAGGGCCCCCCAGAGGCCGCCCATCACTGGCACACTCTCCACGTGATGTGCTGGAGGATAAGCACAGGAAGAGTGCTCCGAGTGGTAAAACAGGGTTTTATTCCAGGACTAGAGACCCAGGGTTTTATTCCAGGACTAGAATTCGTGCACCAGGGATCCTCTGGCCTGCCCTGATCCAGCCAGGCCAGCCAGGGGGAGGGGCTGAGGGAGGTTGGCCGGCCCTGTCCCTGATCAGAGTGGGAGTGGGGGCCAGCTGGGGGGAGGGGCATGGAGAAGACCCGCTGAGCTGGAGCTGAGTGTGGGCCCAGGCTTCCCAGAGAGGATGGCCTCAGCAAGGAAACAAAATCCTCAGAAGCTCTGTGAACAGGCCCTGAGCTCCCTCTGGCCAGGCGGACTCAGAGCTGGGGTCTCTGTGTACATTAGACTCAGCCCGGCACTGGCCTTTGTCTTGGTCAAATCCATTGCATCAAAAAATGTGTTCTCCTTCTTCTCTTCGGGCCCTTTCATCAAGCACGGGGCAATTGGAAGATGCGGCCTCAGTGGCAGAGCCAGGCCCCACCATCACCCGGAATGTAGGCCTAAGACAACTGGGTAGCCCTCTCCCTGGAACAGAGCACCCTGCTTTAGAGTCTGAATTCTCCTCTAAAACGTGCCCCGCGCTCCTCTTGAGCCGGCATAGACTGAACTAAGGAACCAAAGACCGAGTTTCCTTGAGGTGGGTCCACCAGAAGCCGGCTGGTGGCAAGGCCCCTCCCAGGCGGCTGCCTTCCCCCCAGCGCGGGGTGCTCTGAGCCGGTCCCTTTCTGATGGTGCCGGGTCCTGGGCTGCTGGTCAGGTGGCAGGTTCACAGGTTTCCCTCCGCCGCCTTCCTGGCCCCCTGAGCACCAGGCGCCTTTCGCTAGAGCCGGGATCGGAGAGTGAAGGAGCTGGCCGTGCGGAGAGGGACCCACGAGTGGCCAGGCCGTGCCCCCACCCCGCTGTCTTACTCACGTGGATTGGGCCAAGCCCGCTGCCCGAGGCTGGCACCACGGGGGCAGGGTCGCAACGGGGGAGGGGTGCCCTGCCGGCCTTGGTGAGGGCCATCTCGGGGCCCAGCTGACTGATACATCCCACAGAGCCTCATCTCAAGCTGCACGCCCACACTGGCCGCCTCCCCGTTCTTCTTTACCGTGCTGGCGGCGGCTGCACGACTGGCCCTGGGCCCTCGGGCTTGGCAGCAGGACGGTGTGTGTGTCCCTCTGCCCAGCCTGCACCCTCTCCAATCTGGGACATCCCTCTCACAATCTGGGACTGCTGGCTCCCAACTACTCGCCTGCCTGCCTACCTGATTGACCCTCACCGCTTCTGCCTACCAGCCTGATCACTCCCTAACCTCTCCCATGCCAGCCTGATTGTCTAATTGCCCTCCCCTGCCAGCCTGATTGTCCCTAATTGCCCTCCTCTGCCAGCCTGGTCACCCCTAACTGTCCTCCCTTGCCAGCCTGGTCACCCCTAAGTATCCTTCTGGCAAGCCTGGTACCCCCTAACTGCCTTCCCCTGCAGACATGCTCACCACCAACTGCCCTCCCCCGCAGGTCTGGTACCCCCAACTGCCCTCCCCTGCAGGTCTTGTACCCTCTCCCCTGCAGGCCTGGTCACTCTAATTGCCCTTCCCTTCAGGCCTGGTTCCCCTTTACTGCCCTCCCCTGTAGGCCTGGTCATCTCCAATGGCCCTTCCTTAGGCTTGGTCCCTCCCAACTGCCCTCCCCAGCAAGCCTGGTGCCCCCTAACTGCCCTCCCCTGCTGGCCTGGTCCCCCCAACTGCCTTCCCCTGAAGACCTGGTCCCCCCCAACTGCCCTCCCCTGCTGGACATCTTGTGTGGCCCTCTTGTGTCCATATGGGGGTGGCCATCTTTGACCACACGGAGGTGGCCATCTTGCATGTTGGAGTAATGGTCAATTTGCATATCACTCTCTTATTAGATAGGAGAGTACACATGCCTCATCCTATCTAATTCATCCCACAGAACCACGGAGATGGCAGAAGTGTGACCACGTCAGGTCCCTGGTGGTTGAGGCCAGCACTTCCATCCTTTCCACAAACCGTGACATGGCCCTGAAACACCCCGTGCTGGAGACCTTCCGGGGAGCACTGCTCCTGCCCTCACGATGCCTCCAAGCCCAGCCCCCACGGCATGGCCACCCCTCTGACCGGGCTGGACCCAGCCAGCCTGACATTCAGGTGTGAAGAGCTTGGGCGCCTGGGCGGGTGATGGGCTCACACCTGCACGTGTGGAGGCAGACGCGTGGAGGTGGCATGCAGGTGACATGGCTGCCCATAGGCGGTAGGGTGGCACCCAGCCTCCCAGGTTAGGAGGTGCAGCCGAACAGGCCACTTGTCTCCCAGGTTCCCGTCCTCCCGGGTTCCCATCCCCCGGGTTCCCGTCCCCCGGGTTCCCATCCTCCCGGGTTCCCGTCCTCCAGATTCCCATCCTCCCGGGTTCCCGTCCTCCAGATTCCCATCCTCCCGGGTTCCTGTCCTCCAGATTCCCGTCCTCCAGATTCCCGTCCTCCCGGGTTCCTGTCCTCCAGATTCCTGTCCTCCAGATTCCTGTCCTCCAGGTTCCTGTCCTCCCGGGTTCCTGTCCTCTCGGGTTCCCATCCTCCAGGTTCCCGTCCTCTGGGTTCCTGTCCCTGAGCTCACAGGATGGACATGGAGGGGAGGCAACTCTGTCCTTTTTTTTTTTTAAACCAAATGGCCTCTGAACAGACTGGACACCATCGAGGAGGAGGGGTGAGGGTTAAGGGCACATGTGGGTGGACAGGAGAACTAAGCCGGACCGGGCAGCGGTGGGAGAGCTTTTATTTATGTATTCCTGTTTTAGTAAGTGGCGCTGGCTGTTCCCCTCGGTGCTTTGGAATATCTCCAAGCCTGCAGCCGCTCAGGAGAGAGCGGTCAGTCACTTCCCATCCGTTTCTTCTCCACACACGCGGAAGCTCACCATCCACGGAAGGAAATGAAGCAAAACCAAGGGTAACAAACAACAAACAAACAAAACAAACAAAACAAGCACAGAAAAGCAACCTGTGGCCGCAGACCATGCCAGATAGAAACCATAGAAAAATACGCATTAATTCCGTGAGCTGGCTGACTCCGGTGCCGTTGGGCGGGCGGCGGAGGGCTGCTGGGCGTTGTGCTCGGCCGGGCGGGTGGCCGCAGGGCGGTGTGCCGGCGGGGTCTCGGCCCCCTGCCCTCGCCCCGGCCTGGCTCCAGCAGGAGGCATGCGTGCGGCTCCCGGGTGCGTGGGCGGGAGGAGCTGGTTTCGGAAGCAGAACTGCCTTCGGGGCCCCAGACGCACGTGCTATGCCCTCACCCAGCGCCCCGGGAGCGGGGCGGGGTCCCCCATCCAACCCCGGTCCCGGGGAGCCGCTGCAGGCCGCCGCGCTCAGTCCTCCTCCTCCTCCTCCTCCTTTGCCGGCGCGGCTGGCGGCTTGTCCTGGACTTGGAAGCACTCGGCGAAGAAGGTGACGATGGCGCGGAACAGGTGCTGCTTGAGGCGCTCGCTGTGGAAGTAATGGCTTTCGTCCGGGTAGATCTGCAAAGAGGGCGAGAGTGACCGGCTGCCCGCCCTCCGGGGTGTGGGCGTGGGTGGGTGCAGCCCACGCAGCGGGCACCGCAGGGCCGCTGGAGCCTGCAAGTGAGCCTACCCGACCTAGTGCCTCCTCCCCGGAGCCCCGCCAGGCCAGGGGCGCCTGGCGGCCACCCAGGAGGACCCGTGTCCAGCGGCCTCCACACGGTCCGGAACCGGCAGCATGAAGCCACGTGCAGGACAGGCGCAGGGGCCGCAGCTCCGAGGCCGAGCTCTCTGCAACCCGAGTTATAACTTTCTCTACAGCTTTCCTGGGCTGCCATCTGTCCAGGCCTCCTGGCTTACACTCTTATCTGGCCATGGACAGATAAGTTCCCGGCTGTGTCAGGTGGCGATGCACCAGCTAGAATCTACCCTGTTTCCCCGAAAATAAGATAGTGTCTTATATTAATTTTTCCTCCCAATGATGTGGTAGGTCTTATTTTCAGGGGATGTCTTATTTTTCCATGAAGAAGAATACGGTATACATTTATTGTTAAATGAAAATAAAGGAAATTTATTAACTGTATACAGTACGGTAGTACGGTAGTTGTCAACACAAACCAGACAAACTGTGAATCCTACAGTATCAAGAATTTACTCATTTATTCAATGACAATCATGTCATCATCTTCTGGAACATCATCATAACAATCCTATTCTTGAATTTCCTGGTGAATTTCTTGTGACTCCATTTCTTTCAGAATCAGTGGACCAAATCTCTCATGTTTAGCCTAGGGGTGCCTTATTTTCGGGGGATGCCTTATATTTCACTCAGAAGGAAACCTGTAAATAGGTCTTATTTTCGGAGGATGTCTTATTTTCGGGGAAACACGGTAGCTGTAAAGTTTTAGGGAATTAAACCGGGAGCATTCAGCACAAGGTCTGGTGTGAGGGAATATTGTCAGGTGTAATGATACCTCCCGTTCCCTAGGAGCGCTGTGTCACGTCCACAGAAAGGTATCTGTCCCATTGGGGTTCAAGGCCAAGTTAACAGACCTGGAAACCTCGCTGCTCCGCACACCTGCATTTGGAATGTGTCTTTGAAGGACGGCACTCACTTTATTTTAAAATATTTTTTAATGCTGTCACTGAGCTATTATGTACGGTGCCCCCAAAATGTATACACACACTTTGAATAATTATAAAGGCGGTGTTTATGAAAATAGATTTCATTTTCAAAATAGAGCTACCTGCTGTTAAAGTGTGCATGCGTATTTTGTGGACACCTGTTTGTGTGTTAAACTTCAAGCAGCACAAGAGAGAACAGAAACTTGTGGGAAGAGAGGCCCCTCCTGCCCGGGGTCCTGCCCCGCACTTCCCCCCCCTCCCACTGTGACAGATTCACTGAGCACCTGCTAAGGCGCTTGTGGTGCCTGCAGGTTGGCATTGCTCGTGGGTCCCTCTCCTCAACCCGAGTGGGGTCTGGGGAGTCCTCTCAGCACCTTGCTGATGTGGCAGCCTCTGTCTGGGGCCATGACCTCCTCCCATCGGCCATGCCGGCATCCCACAGCCCTTGTCACAGCCTGCGACCCATCGTTCCGGAAGGAAGCGCACAGCACATCAGCCAGCCCTCCTGCCCCCGTCAGCACACCCGAGCCGGATGCCTGAGCAGGAAGCTCTCCCTGCCCGCCTGCCCAGGGCCCTCACAGGCCAGCGACGTGGGCGGCCAGGGGCTGGAAACCCAGGCAGGTGAGGGTCAGTGCCAGGTGCTCTCTGAGGGACGTCTCCTGCCTACCACTGGACCCCAAAAGACATCGGGGCCATGCCTGTTCTCCCAGAGACCCGTGGCCAGGAAGGAAGTGGGAGAAGTGTGCCGAGCAGCAGTGGCATTGCTCTCGAAAGAGCTGTCATGACCCACAGGCTGAGAACTGCTAGCAGGGTGGCCTAAGACCATCGGAAAACAGATGTTTACATCACGACTCATTACAGTAGCGAAGTCACAGGTATGAAGCAGCAGTGAAAATAACGTCATGGCTGGGGTAGCACAGTGTGAGGAGCTGTATTAAAGGGTCGCAGCATTAGAAAGTTGAGAACCGCTGGCCTAGAGGGTGGCTGGCCAGACCCGCCAACCTGCTGTTGTCTACGTGGGGACAGCAGCCCCCATTCCACACGCCAGGGACACGGCACCCACGGCTGTGTGTGGCTGCTGCCTGGCCTTGCTCATCGCACAGAGTGAGGTGGAGGTGGAAGGGGGTCTAACAGGATTTCAGCACCGCCCATCTGCAAGACCGAACTATCATAATTGAAAAGGAAGCACAGGCTTAGTCTGTGGGACGCCCTGCCCACACCGACGGCCATGCCAGGTGTACAAGGCCGTACGCCATCCACATGTGGTTCCTGCCCGGGGGAAGGGAGCAGCCCCGCACAGCCCAGCGTGCACCGTACCTGCAGGCTGTAGTTGGCCTTCGCCTTGATCAGCTGGGTGATGAGCTCGGCGGTGTGCTGGAAGTGGACTTTTTCTGCGGAAGAAAAGACAGTGTGTCTGAACCCACACACCGGCGGGGGCTGCTCACCGTCCGCAGGAGGGCTCCTCGGGGCTCACCATCGGCCGTCGCGTGGATGATCAGAAACTGCTGCCCGTCCAGCGCCGATACCCGGTGGGCCACCTTGGTCATCTGCACGCAGGGTGAGGGGGCAGTTAGTGGCCACACAGGGTGTGTGTGGGGACCCCGAGGATTAGGGCCAGGCTCAGAAGCAGGGTCCGGGACGGGGCTTTCTGTCCGCGGTGAACACACAGCACCTCAGGGAGCCCCCTTCCCTCCCTGCACCCTTCAGAGGCAGACAGGGATGGAGGATACTGACTGTTCTCCTCTGATGGAGACAGGGATGGAGACAAGGAAGGAGACAGGGGGGAGACAGGGAAGGAGACAGGGGGGATACAGGGAAGGAGACGGGGATGGAGACGGGGAAGGAGACAGGGTGGAGACAGGGAAGGAGACAGGAATGGAGACAGGGAAGGAGACGGGGATGGAGACGGGGAACGAGACGGGGAAGGAGACAGGGGGGAGACGGGGAAGGAGACGGGGAAGGAGACAGGGATAGAGGAGTGCTGGCTCAGGGGAGGTGATATTTCTGTTATTCTTGCTAAAGGTTCAACCCCAGACCCCACCCTGTATCCTGAGCCTGGCCTGTCACTGCACTGGTGAAGGAGGGCCATGTGCCATCCCCACTGTCACTGAGCGGCCTTGGGGGCAGGAGCCAGGCATGTGCACCCAGCACCTAAAGACCACGGACAGATCCTCCATCAAAGCCTCCTGCTTTCTTCCTGGCCCCTAAGTTCCAGAGTCAGAAATGACACCCTCTGAGGAGTCATAGTCGCTCCTTTCACAGATCGTATAGGCAGTGGACGGTCCTCCAGGTGGGAGGAGGGACTGTAGGCTGGAGGGAGCGCGGGTTCGTGCTGGGCCGGGTGGGAGGGGAGGGAGAGGAACTCAGAGAAGAGGGAGGAATTCACCGACGTCCCGTGTGCCAGTGGCGGTGTGGGGCCTACCTCATACGCCCTGTTGTCCAGTCCGTAGAGGCCCAGGTACCGCTCGGAAAAGGCCGAGGCTGGTGGGAAGACAGAGGAAGAGGGTCACCCCCGCCGGAGCCCGGACTGGGCCCTGGGGCGGGCTTGCATCCTCTTCCTGGCAAACGTTTGTCTTAAAACCCAAACCAGGCCTGCTGGACCTTTTTAAAAATTTTTCTCCCGGAGCTTTTGTTCTGTGGGTTAAGTCTTTATTGTTGGAAGTGTCCTGTGTGGGCCCCTTGGATCTGATACGGAAATGGGGCGACGTTTAAGCATTCGGGGTTAATGACGGGACCCAGGGACAGGACAGGACAGCGCCCACTCCAGGGGGCTGCACTCGTGCTGGGCTCGGCCTGTCTGCTCGGTCCTGAATGCTGGCCCGGCCCAGGCTCCATCAGCAAGTGCCCCGAAGAGCACCCTCTGTCACAGCAGAGACCATGTCCCGCTGCGGGCACGGGATGGGCCAGGTGTAGGGGGCACGGGATGGGCCAGGTGTAGGGGGCACGGGATGGGCCAGGTGTAGGGGGCACAGGATGGGCCAGGTGTAGGGGGCACGGGATGGGCCAGGTGTAGGGGGCACAGGATGGGTCAGGTGTAGCGGGCACGAGATGGGCCAGGTGTAGGGGGCACGGGATGGGCCAGGTGTAGGGGGCACGGGATGGGCCAGGTGTAGGGGGCACAGGATGGGTCAGGTGTAGCGGGCACGAGATGGGCCAGGTGTAGGGGGCACGGGATGGGCCAGGTGTAGTGGACACGGAATGGGCCAGGTGTAGGGGGCATGAGATGGGCCAGGTGTAGGGGGCACGGGATGGGCCAGGTGAAGGGGGCACGGGATGGGCCAGGTGAGGGGGGCACGGGATGGGCCAGGTGTTGTGGGTACGAAATGGCCAAGTGTAGCTGGTGTGGGGATGAGCCAGATGCCGAGGGCATGGGGATGGCCAGGTGTAGTGGGCACGGGATGGCCAGGTGCGGAGGTGGCACTGGTGGGTCGGATCGGGCACACGTGAAATGGCGTGATTACAAATCTGAAGAAGCCTCGCTGAGCCTGAGATTCTAAAACAGCTCCACGTGTTCCCATGGGAAACCATGTGAAGACTGACATTGACCGGGAGCTCTGGGTGAGGCAGGTGACCTGTGCACGAGAACCTGCCAGAGGCGTGGAGCCTGTGGCTGCGGGGTGCGCCGAGGTGTCCGGGCCTCTGGGGCCGAGGGTGTGGCGTGGCCACGGGAGGGCGCACGGCGCTTCAGAAGGGGGTTAATGCCACAAGCTGTTCACGTCCGGAGGAAAGGGCTGGCTGGCCCGAGACAGGGGGAGGGAGCCTCAAGCCCCGAAACTGCCAGGGCAGCCGTCTGGCCTCACACCTGGGAGGTCCCACAGCAGGTTATCCTGGCACCCGCCTGTCTCCGGCTCCTGCCCGCCACAAAGCCTCTCTCCCGGGACTGGCGCTGCTCGGCCCTCCACCGCCCGGGGGAAGGCGCAGAGGGAGCGGAGCTGAGCCCTCAGGGCGGCACCACTCGAACTGCCGCCGTCTGTGCCCCGGCCGTCTGCCCACCGGACCCCCCGGAACAGCCCACGCGGAGCCCTGCCCTGAGGCCAGAGCAAGGCAGCGCAGTGTGAGGGTCTCAGCACCCCATCTCGCTGGCTCCCCCAGATCTCCTGCGCCCACTGTGGCCACTGTGACCGTCAAAGGGTGAGAACCAGGGCTGGCCACAAGGCTGATGGCACCAGGACAAGGGGGTGAGCCTCCCTGTCTCTGAGCTTTGCCATGAGCCCTACAGCTTGTGTAGTGTGTGGTCCAGGTGGGTGCCTGGCAGGGCTGGTGGGTGTGGAGCTGAGGGGGGCGGTGGGGCCACGGGAGAGGGTGGTGGGGTGCGGAGCTGTGGGGAGTGGTGGGGACGCGGGAGGGGTGGCAGGTGGGGAGCTGAGGGGAGCGGTGGGGTCACGGGAGGGGGTGGCGGGGTGTAGAGCTGAGGGGAGCGGTGGGGCCACGGGAGGGGGTGGCAGGTGCAGAGCTGAGGGGAGCAGTGGGGCCACGGGAGGGGCCGGTGGGGTGGGTAGAGAGCATTACCGTAGAGCTTGAAGTCCGTTATTGGAGAGAGAGCCGAGCCGCAGGCGAACATCTGACCCTGGTTTTCTCCCTTCGCCGGGAGGATGTAAGAGCTCAGGTAGCCGCCATAGTCCTGGGACAGAGGACAGGTAAGTGGGGGTCCATGTCGGTAACTCAGCCAGGAAAACACTCAGACATATCGGCCACTCAAGCAGCCATTTTCATGTAGCTGCTCAGAAAAAAAAAAAAAAAAATCTCAACTTCAAATGTTTCTCAGGGCCTGGCTGGTGTGGCTCAGTGGTGAGCACATGCCCGGACTATGGGCTTGATCCACAGTGCGGGGTGTGCAGGAGGCAGCTGATCGATGGTTCTCTCTCATCACTAATGCTTCTATCTCTCTCCCTGACCCTCTCTCTCTAATATCAATAGTAATCTTAAATTTTTCCAGGTAAAAAACGAAAGGCCAACGCTTGCCATCGAAATATGACTTGTGCACGGCTGAGTGCCCAGTGCTGTGGCGACTGGGTGAGGGCGGTGCAGGTTACGGGGGCTGCGTGGGTGCAGGGCTGTGCTCCGGGCCGCCCCTCAGAGCTCTTTTACCGTGTTCCTCACCAACTCCCTGTCTACACGCAGAGCCAGCCACTCTGACTTTCTGCGGTTCTGAGGGCGGGCCGGCCAGGACCGGGGCTAAGGCGGCCATGAGACAGACATCCCCATGTGTCCTGCACAGGGTTCCCCCCTAAGTTCTGACATTGTCCTTGCCTTGGGGTTGACACGAAAGACCTGGCTTCCATGCGTGCCTCCCAGAGACAGCCCAACGGACACCACTCCCTGCCCGGCGCCCAGAGCCCGGCTCCTGTCTGGACTGACCCAGAGGGAGGGCACAGGTGTGATGTCTGATGAGAAAGGTTGGAGGGGGACCGAGGCCAAGAGAATCAGGGCGTGGGGAGAACTGTTAAAGCTGCGTGTGCATGAGTGTGCGAGTGTGTGAGCGTGTGTTTGTGTACGAGTGTGTTTGCATGTAAGTAGGTGTGTATGAACGTATGTGAACGTGTTTGTAGATGAATGTGAGTGTGCATGAGCATGTATTTGTATATGAGTGTGTGTACAGATGTGTATTTCTGTGTGAGTGTGTGTGAGTGTGTGAATGTGTGTGAGTGTGTCCACGAGCCAGAGTCCCCGGTCCCAGCGGCGAGGCCCTCCCCGCTCCCGTGCAGAGAGCCCCGGGGCCGCCCTCACGTGTACAGAAGAGCACACAGCTCCACACCCGAGACGCTCGGTGAACTGGCCCAGCCTGGGGGTGGACATCCAGTCCCCGTCCTGAATGTTGGGGTGACCAGGCGAAGGACAGCGCACTCACCTCCCCGAACACGGCCACGCGCGTCCTGTCGACGTACGGCTCCTTCAGCATCGATCTACGGAGCGAGAGGAAGCGTCGGTCACAGTGTGGCATGGCCGGGGCAGGGCGTGCCTGGCCGTCACCGCGTGGCAGTCTGTGCCTGTGCCACCGTGAGGCGCCGTGCGAGCCTCTGGAGGACTCCCAGGCCCTGACTCTCCGGAGCCCTGAGTGCTGAGCCGCCAGGCCCGGGGGCACCAGGCCCCGGGGTCCCTGCCCTCCTGCGTCACCTTCACTCAGACCACGTGGCTCCAACCTCCCCAACGCTGGGAGGGCTCCGGGTCACCAGGGTCAGAGGGGGCTCCAGCTCTGTCAGGGCGGGGGTCAGGGAGCCGGGTTCCCTGTACCTGAGGCGTCCTCTGTCCCCAGCTCCAGGCAGGGGGTCCCCGCCTTGTGCTCCCTTTAGTCACTGCTCCTCAAACTGCAGTTTGAGTGTTGGTAGCATCCTCCTACCCACCTGCCCCTCTGCCCCTCTGCCCCTCCACGGCTCTGCCTGTCCGGCATGGCCCCCGCCTTTGCTCCTAACGTCCTGTTTGGAATGGGCTCCCCATGACCTGCTGGCGAAGCCCTGCCCGGCCATGGTGGGGCTGGCCCAGGAGCCCGCCCGCTGCCGCCTCTGCCTGGCCAGCGTGTGCACCTGAGGCCGTGCCGCGCCAGCTGTGCCCGCGACTGCCCCTCCCCTCGCTCAGCGGCTGGGCCTGGGAGGGACTCTGCTTGTCACCGGGGAGGACAGGGCCACGTGGGCCCCGGGACGACAGCAGGAGGGAGGTGATGGAGGGCTGGGGGACGATTGGGAACTGGTGCTGCCCGGCCTGTGGTTCTTGAATGAAAGCACAGACTGAACCCACTCAGAGCTCAGTGGAGTTTTCTTGGACTTGAACTTTTAGGCCTCAGCTTCTGAAAGCCCGCATGCATATGGTGGCTGTGGGCAATGCGCTGGCTATGGGTGTGCAGTGGCCGTGGGTGTACGGTGGCCATGGGTGTGCAGTGGACGTGGCTGTGCGGTGGCTGTGGGTGTGCGGTGGCTGTGGCTGTGCGGTGGCCGTGGCTGTGCGGTGGCCGTGGCTGTGCAGTGGACGTGGTTGTGCAGTGGCCGTGGGTGTGCGGTGGCCGTGGGTGTGCGGTGGCTGTGGGTGTGCGGTGGCTGTGGGTGTGCGGTGGACGTGGCTGTGGGTTGGCTGTGGCTGTGCGGTGGCCGTGGCTGTGCAGTGGCCGTGTGCTCCTGCTCCTGTGAGCTGTGGGAGTGTGAGACTCGACTCTATTGACTTCTGTTCAGGAGCAGGTTCTGCTTTGATTTTGGACAGATGGCAGATCAATTCCTTATTTTTAGAAAACACTGCATGTGGAATGCCTGTTGCCCCTGTCCCCGAGGCAGAGGGGACCAGATAGACACGGCCACACGGCCGGAGGACACGTGTCCCTTGGAGCCCTGTGCTCGAGGGGTTGGGGGTCAGACAGGAGGCCGGTCAGGCGGAAAGGCATAGATGAGGGGGGATAGCCCCACGGCCACTGACCAAAGCCCACTGTCACTGCTGGCCAGCCTGAGGCGTCATCCGCGGTGGACACAGCTGGTCGCTGACCGGCACCCTCCCCCCCTTCCCTGCTCCCTCAGGACAACTGCCCGCGTGTCCCGGCAGGTTCTGGGTTCTAGAGGGGCAGGAGATGCAGTGAGTGCTGTCCTGGGCGCTTCCGGGAGCTTCTCCCTTCCTTTCTGGGAGTTTCTGGAAGGGGTTTCCTTCTTAGCCGCGGATGGTGGAGGGAGAAGCAATGGGTGCTCCTGGCAGCCTCCCGCAGGGAGGGCACCCGCCCGCTGGGGTGCACGCTGAGCGGAGACGCCGAGGGCCTGCCTTTGGCAGCGTGCAGAGGTCCTGGATTCAACAGCTCTGCCGCCCTCTGGGCTCACAGAACCCACGCCCTTCCTCACGGTGTGTGTGTGTGTGTGTGTGTGTGTGTGTGTGTGTGTGTGTGTGTGTGTGTCCTGTGCCTTTGTGGGCCATGGGGTCTGGAAAATGTCTCTCCTCCGGGCCTGTCTGACACACACAGGCTCTGGACATGCCGCCCGGCACCCAGCGCCCGCCACTCCCTGGGGGAGGCACCGTCCTCACCGCCATTTTGAAGGCACTGACCTGGCGCGCACCACGCCATCCGCCCTTTCAGAATGAGGAGGGGTGTTTTGCAAAGGCAGAGAGTGAATCATTTAAGCCTGAAAGCACACAGGCCTGCTGGCGGGGGGTGGGGGTTGGGGAGAGTTCAGGGTGGGGTGCCAGCCGCACACTCAGCCCTTCGCCGCTCAGGCCTCAGCTCCGGGCCCTCGCACCGTCCAGCAGCACACTCCGCGTCCCCACAAGGCCACCGTGTGGGTCCGTGCTGTTCGCGTGTTCCTGCCCCTCTTGTCACTCTGAGCACGTGCGCCTGTGGCTGCGGCTGCGTGGGCCTCTCGGCGGTCTGTCTGCGGGCACTGCCACCCCCGCAGGAGCACACGGCCACTGCACACCCACGGCCACCGCCCACCCACAGCCACTGACATCTGAGAAAGCACTTCCTGCCCTGGGAGCCCGGCCAGGGCAGCCGGCACAGGGCCGAGGTCCCATCCTCGTGGGCAGCAACCATCTCGGTGGTGACTGAGCGCTGATGCCTGGTGCTGCTGACACTCGTGGGCCGGCACGTGGGGGAGCGACTGG